ATGGTGTCTACTTTGATAGTTTCTACATCGTCTGTTGACACCGATGGTACAAACACGGCTTGTTGCACGTCCGATTTCTGTACGTACGCGTTGAATCCGTTGGTCGGGTCAGCTGTGTAGTCTACGGTTCTCCTGGTGCCATCGGGTTCGATCAAACTGTATCTGCCCTTAACGACATCTCCTTGGCGGGTTTCCTCTTGACTCTTGGAGTCGCCGGTTATCTGATCCTGTACCTGGTACGCGAATGTGTACGATGGGTCAGGCTGAATTTGAGCGGGTACGACTTGCACGACTTTGGCGACCGGTACAGTCGGTGTGACAAGTTTAGCTGGGGACACGGCGACGGGAACGGTTCTGGCCGGTGTAACGATTTTGGCTGGGGTAGTGGCCACAACTTTGGCCGCCGGTGCTGTGTAGGCCGTGTATGCCAACAACGGTGCTGATTGGTAGTATGGCTGCAAATAAGCCCAAGGGACTGGTCCGTGGGATGTGAACGAAGACTCGACGTAAGCCGTGGGTGCACCGGTTAGGACAACTTCGGTTGCTGAAATCATAGCAACTACTAAGGGCAGAACAATGAATACCTGAAACATGTTTTAATATTATTTCTTATTTCTGTCAGTCTGGATGGACTGTCATTTGAACGTAAAATAAACGATTTATTTGTTTAGCGGCTAAATATTTATTACACTTACCTTCATTTTGTTGAGGTTTTTGAGTCTGAGAATCGAATACTTCTTCTATTTGTAGTAGTAGTATCTACTGTTTGAAGTGATTGATTGTGATGTGATTCGATCTTGGTCGACTCTGGTTTATATATTGTTTAAAAGGCCCTCTACCCCACCATTTTTAAGGACATCTCGTACGTGTAGACAAATATAATTCATATCGATGAGCATGATCATATTATTCAGTTCTGGCGCCGTGTTTAGAATTATATTAAATTTCATGTCTTAAATGACCATGATGCATCTTCATAGTTTGAATTTTGCAATGAAATAGATCATTAAGTAAATTTTGTTTTCGAGCCAAATGTACAAATAGAATTTGACCCTTTTATGTACTTGGCCAATATATATGTATTAATTGTCACAGATTTATCTGTTTTATTTACATTATTAAATTATAAAATTAATAAATAAGGATCAATAACTTATAGATATACAAAAAAATTAAAACATAATAAAATTAAAAATATTTTTAAATAAAAATGTTATTAATCACAAAGTTGTATTAATGCATTTTTATAATAATTATCGTATGTTGGCAAGTTTAAATAAATTGTTTGTTGTGGAATAGCTTAATATTAGAACGCGTACGTGAAAGATGGTCCGACACGCATTTACCGAGGACGTATTTATAATGTACAATGCATACCTGATATGAGTCTAGGCCGTGAATTAATATATTTGCATTTTTATCAAATGGGAAGTGAACATCATATGATATTTTGTAGACTCTTTATGCATAAGAATATTCTCTATAAAACTATATCATTGGAAATAATAGAAACATATACAACTTAGAATACCAATATACTATTTAATAATCAATAACAGTATGATCTTGAACAAAAAATATATTAACATCCTGCACACATGGACATTGAACATATTATACATAATGCGTATATGTTTATTGTTTACAGAATTTCACCACCACCCCCTCCCCATAATCCATAAAAAGATCTCTCAGATTCCCTTGTAGACATTAAGATGTTAATCATAACAATATTAGTTAAGTAATTTTAATAAAGATTTATGTACAATAATAATGACAACTATATTGTTATTTCGATGGATAATTGATAGGTATTATACACTATATGTATCATTCCATTGCTATATTTAGACGCAATGTTTATTTCAAATTAATATTGTCATGATAAAAACATATACAAATACAAAAAAATGGTACTGTAAAAGTACGAATACTAGTAAAAAAGTCAAACCTAGGTTTGCTGACTTCTGAATCTGTGAATGCCCGGATTCTCGTCTTTTATTATGATTGATCACAGTAAATTCTAGGGTAATTAGTATTTGAAAATTGTTTTACTTATTTAATTTCAATTGAGTTTAAATTGTATTTAAAAAAAATATAATACAATTTATAAATACCTATACTACTAAAATATAAATTATAGATTTGCGTAAATGCGAGGACAAATTAAATAATTTTTGTAGTTAAAAAAATACATAATGTTTATTTTGTCATATTTTTATAATTTTGGAATATAAAGATGACTTATCCAATGATTTACTATTTATCGTTTATCTGGACAGTAGTTTTCATTAATCATTTGGTGTTAAACCGATATATTTTGTATATTATCTTAACATTTATCAAAAGATCAGTAATAACCTGAAATTTGAAGATTTAGAGGTAGCAGTCAGTAAGTTTTAATGGTATTCGTATTTTACCTTAAAATATAAATTATGTATATTTCGTAGGCCATTTGGCAAATTGGTCTTTTTGCGAAAAGACTATAGGCTCTTTGCAATGGGGTAGCCGGTTTGCAAACTATTTATTTTTTTTCGTAACAGCCTGCCGTTTTTCAGGTTTATTGCATCCGGACTACAGCACTTAGGCATTTTAAGAACTGCGATCATTTTAATACGGTAATGCCCATTTTACTTATTTTACATGTGAAGTTAAGTTTATTGAACTTAGAATATTGACTCAAAAAAACCTAGTCTTTTCGCAAAAAGACCAATTTGCCAAATGGCCTACGACATAAACATATTATAGAGCTATTATAAATATTTTAAACATAATTAAAAATTCTAAAAGTAGTTTCATTAAAAATTTTTTATATCTACTGTAAATAGTTTAACACTTTGTTAGAACATTTATTTTTGAGTTTTTAGATTTCTTCAAAGAAAACTTAAAAGAGTTAAAAGATTGACTTACCTATCATAAATATTGTTCATGATTTCCTAGTTTTACAACAATTTAATTCTATTAAAGAATTTTGTTATTTGTAATTTGTAATTTGTAAACTGATTTGTAATAGCATGTTGAGACATTTTAATCTTAATTAATAAATAAAAAAAATTCTATTAAATCAAAAAAAATATAATTACATTATGAATTTTACATTTTCAAAGTTAATAATCAAATCATTAATATTGTGACTGAGAGGAAATTCAATTGTTACTAATTCATATTTGTTGAAATGGAACTTAAAATATTACTTTTAATCTCCTATAATTATAAATTTATTGTTTCATACAAAATATCTCATCGTTCATATTTTTGGTAGTTGCAAAACCTTGGAATTTTTAAAGTAAAATAAACATATTTAAAGTATTACATAATAATATGATAATTTAAGGGAAAAATGTATTCATTTAAAAGGTTATAATAATCCATTTTTAAATTATATGTGTTCCTCTAGTTTTTAGTGGTTAGTTGTCTTCATTCAACTCCCCTAACGGTATATTATGGTTTTTAAATTATAACATTTGATGACAAGGTGTCCAAAACCTAATCTATTTTATTAATATATATATTAAACATTTGTTTTTAATTTTACAAAGTGTATATTTCAGTGACTCCATGTATTATATTTTACACATATGATAAGTCCAATTTTATATTGATTTGATTTTAGGATTTAATTTAATAATGTTTAGTTTGCAAGAAGTTGAACTTAAAAAAATAACCTATTTTGAAATTACATTATTTTGAATATTTAGTATTTACTATAGTACTATACTTAACTTCTCATGAAATGTTTAATGCGATACCTAAAAAATTCATAAATGCATTTCACACATATTATTTCCTTGAAAAATAGTCAACAAGCATTATAAATGTAATGATTTATTAATGGATACAACATGAATATGTTATAGCATTGTTTTGTAGACTGTTGTAGTATTACAATGTGTGTATTTTTATTTACATTTTATAAATAAAGATTCATTAAAATTTAGTTCTACTTATTTTTTCAATTAAAAATACGATCACGTAGTACATACTAATAGTTTTATGCCCAGTGTTAAATATATTACTATATCTCTATTACTTTATAGTTTGAATTAATTGTTATTCATTATGTACCTTTTACTTTTCAAATGTATTTTTAAATCACTCATATGTTTTGTTCGTGCTTTTCTGTATAATGATTGAATTTAATTAATAAATTAAATTAAATTATCAAATAATTATAATATAATCCAATTTCGCTTTCCATATGATTTCTATCCACCTGCATTTGCTTTAATTTTAAATTTAATCTTTGTAATTCATCTGAACTAATCATAATATTATAATGTAATTGATAATGTTTGGATGGTTTAAATATGATTTTAATGTTTTATTGCCGTTATTTTAACATTAAATATATATTGGATGCCGTGCATATACTTATTCATTTTTAATTTGCTTGATGTTATCGATTAGGTTATTATTTAAAAAAAAGTGTAATTTATAGCATTCATAAAGGGAGAAAGTGACTAGTACGTATAGTTCTATATTTTAAGGTTTACTAAGTTATTTTAGATTTATATGATATCGAGTTAAGTCATAATAATTTGTTAACGTGTTTGTATACGCAATATAGTCATTCACGCATATTTACTATTATATTATTATAGACAATACATATATCCATAATCAACATTATTATATGCATCCGTTTAAGATTAAAGTTTTCACTAATAAATACTAAATATATGATTAAATATAGATATTTATTTTCTTATTAAATTACAAAAATGCATAACAATACCTATATTTAAATATAAAATAATTTTAGCTAATACGTGAATATATATTATTTTACTTGAAAGTTTTACATGTATATCAACATTGAGTATAATATCTACTATATAATCGTATTATAATCTCTACTCAATGATGTTATGTGGTTTTTTCGATAATATTTATTCAATCTGATTATTACAAATAACATCAATAATAAAATAACAATATTAATACATTAATCGTATACTTATAATATATTACTATATTAAATTATTATTATTTTCGTTTGTTTGGTCGCCATTGTTCCACCACCGTACTTAATTCAATCAACAGTTTTACCTTTGTTGTGGTATTTATRGTTGGTAATTTTCCAATTTTTTGGTCATTTCGATCGGAGTTTCTGCCTTTCTGGATTTGTTACATTTTTGTAATATTTTTCCAACTCGGTTTTTGTAGTATTCAACTCTGTCTTAACAACTACCGGCTTTAAAGCTCTTGAAATATTGTCTGGTCTGTCATTCCGTCTGTCGTTGGATCCGTCTGACTTCCGCGTGATGGCCGCCCCTTGTAATTCGGTACTCAGGTCGATCGTGCCTTTAAAAACTATATCCGTTTCGTGTGGTTCTGATAAATTATTATAGTTCGCCAGTCCGTCACTGCCGACAATTATCGGTGCATCATGTCGGTCATTCGAATCGCCAACGTGGCCGTCAATTATTTTATAGCCGTAACTGTACCGTCTCGACTCCGGTAAACCATCGATTCGCGTTTCCGAGTAAACTGTAGCAGTTGCAGTAGACGGATAATTATTATTATTACCATCGTACGTCGGTCGATTTTCCGTTTGCTGCTCATCATTTGAATATAATATAGACGTTTCCGGGCTACGTAGTTGTGGACGTTCGTTTCGAGCTTTCGAATACTTAGCTGAGTCGTAAATCAGTGCTCGTCGGTTTTCGCTATTGGGTACAAAGTATTGTATCGGCGCTTGGATTGCGTGATTTATCAAAGGTATTTTCCCCGTGTTTATCACTAGTGGTATTGCTTGATACTGCTGATCTGCGGGCACTGGATAATGAAGCGATTCGTATGAGATCCCAGACTTGGAAGGCAGTATAATTATGGGACTTAGGGAGTCGGTTCTAGGGTCGGTTGGCACTTGACAAGAATTTTTTGAGAGTATAGAGAAAAAGAAGAAGATAATAAAAATCAAAACCTGTTAAATGAAAAAAAATTAATTTTAAAAAGCGTATTGTTTTCTTAAAAAAATAAATATAATTATTCCCTATACCTACTATGTGTATTGTTTCATAAATACCAACTTTATTTTTATGATAATGTTAAAATGTATTCCTCTTATAATTATTAGTTATTGAATACGCTAGAACTGTAGGTATTTAAGTAAAATATGTAGTGTATGTAATTGAAGTACAAAGGGAATGGATATATATATTATATACATGGTGTAACAGATAGAACTGACTTTTGGAATAACTTTTGTTCAAATTTATTTTTTTATTAATTTTTTTTTTTTTTTTTGTTCATTGGTGACCCTAGCGCTAATATATTATACTTTTTCTATGTTTCATTTTTTAGTATTGAAAATAAAAAAATTTAAATTTTGTAAAAAATTATTTGGATAAATTCAAAATTGCCTATTTTTGATTCTGATTATAAGAACAATTTGATGGTAAAAAGATTTATTTAAGTCAAGTAGTTCATTTTTTAGAATTTTTTTAAAACTCAATACCTACCTATGTTTTTAGTTAAATTAATTTGAAACGCAATAACTTTTTTAAAAATATGATTTTTGAGAATTTGCTGACATGAGTACCTATATTTATTAAATTATTAACTTATTATATAATATTATCAATTTTTGTCATACGATGAATTGTCATATTTTTTTTTTTTTTTTTATCAGGTCTTTCTGTTACACCCTGTATACATGAGAAAAAATTTATAGTAATACATTATATTTTTACTGATAATTTATTTGTAACGTCCTTGAAAATAATTTAAGTGAAGTGTCGTTTGTGGTTGATTTAACAGAATGAAATTGATAAAAAATTATCAATTGGAAACGGCCAAAATTGTAATTAATGGTAATCAGATTGTATTGAAATTCTTGCTTGATATAATATTATTATTTTTTGCACAATACTAGTATATAAAAACAGACGTGAAATCGGGCAATTGCATATTTCGCCATCATTTCTTAGGAATTTAATGTATAGTTTAATCAAATACAAGTCTCCAAGTCCGCGTGACTAGAAATTATAATAGTATTACTTTGACAGTGCTTGTTTTCAATTAATAATATGTCAGCGTACTTGTGTTGACCTATGCTAGTATGCTATATATGTATCATATTATAAATCTATTTACAATACACATATTTCGCATATATTAATGTAGTTGTATGCATCGTATAATGCGCGTACGGTACGCGGCGTACCTCTTGTAAGCTTGTTATATAAATAGCAGTAATTAGATAAAGATTTTCAAACTTGAGATTAATATAAATTCGATATCAACTTGGTTTTAAATGAATATTACTGCAAATTCCAGAGCTTTTATTTTTTTTTAACTAAATAAACGTTGTGTATTTAATAGTTTTGAAAATACATAACAGTTTTTAATATAATATTTTATATGTTGTTATAAGTCTATAGCAGTAAATATACAGTATTCTCGTTAATTTGTGTAACCAATAATTGTTCTAGGTGCTAACTAGCTCCTATAACCTGTTAGTGTAACGTTTGACTATACTTATTATTTCAATCTTAACTATTTTTTGGACAATAAAATATTAAAAACTATTTTTTTCTTAATTATTTAAGATTATTAAATATCAATTTAATTCAGTAAAATATTTTAGCAAACGTCAAGAAAGTAATAAAATAGTTTTTCATAGTTATAACCTGCTTTAAGTTTTAAATTAATTTTAATCGTAATTTTTTTAATCTAAAACTTGTAATTGAAAAATAAAAACCGCACTTATTTATAACCTTACTTAAAACCACCAATTTAACCAAGTTATACTTAATTAATATATCTAATATTAATATGATAAGTCCATCATAAATTAAAATATAAGTGCTTGCTGTTACAACAACATGCATAATCAGATAAATTCCAATATTGAAAAAATAAGTTATTTTAGAAATGGATTTATTATGTTTTACAATTTTTATGCAACAGTCAGATAAATCCGGATTTTAAGGCTTAAAATATTGCTTAATAGTTATAAATAAGAACAACAATGAAATTGCAATTAATATCGGATATATTATACTTAGTAATGTACTTTATACATCATAAAATAAAATAGTAACAAACTTAGACATAATGATCAAATAAATCTATGCTCCCCTCTACTAGTAAACAAATAATTTGTAACTAAAAACAATTTTTTTTCAAAAAGTACAGTATTGTGTATAATTATGTAAAGAATAATAAACAAAATTAGAYTTAGCAAATATTTAGTCACTAGAAATAATTTTTTTTTAACTAAAGAATTTCAAAAAGTGACCCATTTAAGATTTAACGTGTAGCGATAAACACCATATTAAATAATATGTCATAATATACAGAGTGTTCCACAAAGATTTAACCATTTCGTTATCAGATAACCGGGTTATTTCATGAAATAATGGAGATATAAAAATTTTGGTTTTGTTATAAGACTCACAGGGATRAGAAATACAATTGTATCATTTTTAATTTATTTTAATGTTTTGGTAAAAAAATTTTAAAAATATATTTTTTATTTAATTATTTCCAAAAATATTAAAGATAGTCATTTTGTGGAGTTTATTTTTCTGAAAACATTGAAGTTTCAAAATTTTAGTTTCATTAATTTCCCGATTTTTAATATTTTTTCTAGTTTTGAAGAAATAAAATATGATTATAACTAGCACATTGAAATCGTCCTGGTGGCCGTGAAAGCACGCTCGAGGCGTGGTGTTTCACATGTTTGATAACGGTGTTAAAAAATTCTCAATCAAAAGTAAAAAAATAATTTAAATCTGGAAATAAACAAAATAAAATTTTGAAATGTCAATATTTTCAGAAAAATGAACTCTACAAAATGGTACCTAGTAGTAATTTTTTTTGGAAATAATTAAATAAAAAAATACATTTTTTAACTGTTTTACCAAAACATTAAAATAAATTAAAATATGAAATGATTGTAGTTCTTATTCCTGTAAGTCTTATTACAAAACCAGAATTTCGATATCTCTATTATTTCCGGAGATATCGCAATGGGTAAATCCTCGTGGGACACCCGGTATAATTATATGCATATCATTTTAAATGATTTAAAGTTTAAAATTTAAAATTTAGAACAATCTGAATGAATGCATTGTATAGTGTGATATAATTAATTTCATTATTTCTATATAATATTTTACTATTGTGTAAAGTGTGACTGTAAAGATAATCTGTAGTTTTTTTTTCATACAAATGTTGTCACATTGCTTGATCGATGTTATCCATAGAGGAAATAACGGGTGTGTGGTTTTTCCTTTTTGGAATAAAGCTTTATGGGAAAAAAGTATATATTTATTTTTGAAATAAAAAAACGATTCTTATAACTAGAACCATATTTAGTGTCAGAGTGGTTAGAGAATTTGGGTCATACTATTACTATATTTTACTTAATTATTACCTTCATAATATATATATATATATATATGTGTATATAAGATACTGTTAGGTACCAGATACGTTCTGTTAGTCATAATTGTAAAATATTTTAGGTTGTTATTAAATGCATATATTACATTCAACATATATTCGTTTTATAAGCATTAAAAGGTTTATTTTGTTAAATAAATCAATCGTATTATCCTTTGTAGTAATTTATGAAAAACATTTACCTTGTTAAKAGCACATTTTCATTCGAATATTTTATTCTTATTTATTTTTATAATAATTATGAGACAAATGATTGATAAAAATATGCACACCCAAATAAAAGAATTATTCAAAACATTCAGTATGTAGAATAGGAACATTTTATTATGTCTTCCCGTAACTTGGTATTCTATTTTAATATATAAATATAATAACATTTTTTTGGAATATTTAAGAATTTATATTTAGAATAATGTCAGTAAAATAGCAAAATATTAGAATTATTTTAGTTGATCCTTAATGATAATTTAAATGTAAAGTATTATTATTTTGTGTCACTAAAATTATAAAATATGATTTTTCTTAAACTTACCCAAGCCTTCATCCTGATCCAAATGTTGGTAGTTCTTAAATAAGTTACTACTTAAACATTTCTTTGCATCTACACAAATAAGTACTTTTTGGTGTGTCTGCGTGTATATAAGTATGCATGTATATTTCAAGTATGTATGTATGAGTTTAATGGTTTATATAATGTGTATTTTATACCAGAGTTCCATGTTGAGAGCCCTATTATGTTTTTCCTACAGTGTTATATGCTTCAGAAGGGGTTTCCGTAACAAATTAGCAGAACGATTCGTATTATATTTATTTTTATAAAAATATTACCGCTAACTCATAATTTAATAACATTTTGTTGAAATAGTATTGATAAATTGAATTCTTCATAAAAAGGTGTTTTTAATGAATACCTATCTTTTTTTTTTAAATCTTAATTTAACAAAAAATTAAATTAAGTAAAAAAAATACATATACATTCTTTGAATAATGATAATAATTTTTACACAGATTATAAATTATACAAGTTTTTTTAATCTATGAGAAATTATAATATTATATATCTGTTTAAATATTAAAATTAAAATTAAAAATAACTCCTTGTTTAGTTATGGTGGGTTAAAATCAGCTTAATTTAGATTATTTGTGTTATATTGAATTATTTTAATATATAACTACCCTATTAATCTTTAAGTTTACTTTGTTTATATTTGTATATTTAAATTCAACTTAAATTACTTACACTTCATTGTTATTTAAAAATTGTCTATTAATTAAATATCACATTTTTAATATAAAATTCTTTTCTTTTTTGTAAATGACATAACTTTTTTCCTGGAAAAAATAAAGTTAAGCAAAAAATGAATATCAGTAATCTGTAATAGTCAACAGTTATATTAGCGATATAAAAATATTTTATATTATCTTTTCATAAAGTGTTCTTTATATCCAATATAACTGTGATAAAAAAAACGCCTTTTAATCGTTAAATACAATTTAATATACTTCATAAAAATAAAATATTTATTTTCATTTTAAAATAATTTTTGTAATTTTCAATACGAAATAGTATTATTTTCGCATTTTAAATAAAAATAAAAACATAATTTATAAATTATAATTTAATTAAGGGCTTGCTCATTGTCTTTATTAAGAGGCAATGTGAAAAACGAGAATATTTGTTAAAAACTTGTCTTATAGTAAAAACTTTCACGCATCATTGAGTAATCTAGTTTGATTAATTTTTTTTTCGTTGCATTTATGATAGGTTATATTTTTAAATTTAATTTTCTAATCTGCTCAAATCATTACAGATAATATATCTGTAATAATAATTTAAAAAAATGTATATCCCATTTTATTTATAACCCATCTTTGTAAATTTCGTTGTAAACACTTATTCATGCATATTTTTTAACTTTCTGTAAAATCTTCGGTATTTTTTTTTGTGATCAATAAAAATTTATATATATATATCTGTAATGATTTTACAGTGATGATGTGTGTGTGTTTTATTTTCGTATCCGTGTCTGTGTAAACGATAAGTATTTAATCCAAATAATGCATCGATTTTCAACTTCTATATCTTCTCCGTTGAGAAATGTAATTGCAATTAGGAAGCAAAAGTTATAAAATTCCAGTAGTTTATTCAAATGTAAGAATAAATAAAAATATAAATATATATAAAAAGGTTATTTTTACACAAAGTTTCCGGCAAACTCCAATTTGGTTTTTGGCCTAACTCTAAAAAAAATTATTATAAAATACACTGAATTTTTACCAAATATTTATATTAGCATTTTCTATATATCATACAAGATTCCCCATAAAATGTTGTTAATGGAAATAAAAAAAAAGTAAACATTAATTTACATTAATTTTCTATAATTATCTGAAATTTAAATTTTTATATTGGACGTTCACTTGATTTTTCATTGAATGATTTTCTTATTTGTTGTAATTGAAAAACAAATAATCGTAGGTACTTTAGGTTAGGTTATTTTTCATTTTCTATATTTGATAAAATGTTCAAAATATTTTAACTAGTTTTAGAGACATTTTCAAATTTAAATAATTTAAGTTTTTTTTTTTTCATTAAATGTCATAAATTTGTATTTATCGAGTCAAAAAGCTTTAAATTGAATACAAAGCTATTATAAGCTATTTGTTTTTTAAATTATTGTTAGGTGTTTTTTCCTTAAAAACTACAAATATATTTAGATGTATTTATATTGCATATACTAAACGCCGTTTATTAAAAAGAGATCTTGAAATTAATCAAATATTTTTGGATTGTAAATATTTAAATTTTAAAGTACTAATGAATTGTGGACTAAGTTAAGACATAGGCATTGTAAAGTATGTCTTACTTGTTAGGTTTTGGTTAGGATGAAATTTAAATGAAAAATCATCATAGAAAAATCAGAATGCACTTATTTTATATAGATAATACAAACTAACTTAGTGATATATATATATATATATATGTATGTATATCATATAAAGTTTTTATTATTTTTTATTAAACTAAAGATAAAACTATATAACTATATTTTTAACATATTTTTAGATTAAAATAATAAATAATAATAATAAAAGTTATATAGAAATCATTATTTTTTATTCAGTCTGTGTTAGTATATAGACATTTATTAAAATATTTCATTTTTTTACTAAGGTGTTTTTATTTTGTTTATGATCGTTTTACTTATTTATTTTTTGTAGTATATGAGTAGGTTTTTTATTGTTCTATAACTCTTTCATTAATTAATTATTCAAATTATACAAATGCATAATATTCGTAAAAAAATTTTAAATTTTATTTATATTTCAACTAAGTAATTACATAAGTATTAATATTGATCATTAGAATTATTAAACGTGACTATCTACAGTAATAATATTAAACACTAAACACGTATGCATATTGCAAATAAATATAATATTGGCGTTACGTAAAAAGTTAAGGTATTTCGTCATTATTTTAATAACGTATAAATAATTTAAATATTATGCAATGGTTATTAATAAATAGTCTTATAATGATTTTTGGCGCAGTTGTTATGGCAGGTTACAGAATTCGTTTAAAACTTTAATGTCTATTTGATCAATGGACAGCAATGACTATTTAATTGTCATATTACCCATATAATGTAGTCCAGCTATATGTTGAATATTATTTTCTATTAAACGTATAATATATATTAGGTGCCTAACTTTATTGGCAAATATATTTCAGTTTTTTATATATACATAATATATTAAAGATAAGTGGGAGAAAAAACTATATATACCTATTATTATATATTATATAGGTTAGGTTAGTATAATTATGTTATATATATTATATATTATTATATTATTTAAAATACTTCGGTGAACCTAACGTAGGTATCTTAATTGAAGACGTGGGTGTAAAAACCAGACATCTCTATCTAATAAAAATATTGCAATCTAAAGTTYGACATCACCGGAGAATTATTTTTGTTGCAACAAAAAATAAAACAGACATCTTCATATAACTTTGTATCTAACAATCGGATTTGTCTGATTGTTGCACCAATCGACGCTGATTTTTCTATAGGAAAATACAAAACAAAAAATATGATTTTCGAAAATAAACAAAGATTTCTGGTTGTTGCACCCATGTCTTTAATTTAGATTAAGTAATGAATTTGATAAAATGTAAAATAAATTTATTATAGGTAGTGATAGTGTGGATATAAAGTTATATTAACACATAATGCAATGAAATAAAATTATTTGTGAAAATCTTCTTGTTATATAAGTGTCAAATATTTTATTATAAATAATATCATAATTTTTTAACCAACTACATGGCATTGAAATAATACTTTTTCTGTATTCTGATAATATTCTTACTTAAGAAATTTAACTTTTATTGTTACACTTTTTAACTGAAGGCAAAATCCAACAATGTGTGTTTTAGTGTTGTGTGTTTTATAATATGATTTAGACGTTGTAGGTATGRAATGGCATTAATTAACATCTGCTATACATATAGGTATACAAAAGTTTATTTATAAAACAAATTTTACAAGTAAATTGTACTTGCCGTATTATTTTTTATAGGTAGCTAAGTGTATGAAATATGAATTACGATACCCGTGCTTTTTATACACCATGGTTCATTTTTTTCACTAAATTAATATTTAATTAATTCGGTTAAAAAAATGTGAAATCTGTGTTTAGTATAATAGAATAGGTATTTTGTATATTATTCGCTTTGGTATATTATGCATGGACGTTTTTATTGGAGGTACAGATAACAGATGCGCTCTGTCCAATAACCAATGCAACTTAACTCCAAACATCGAAGTCCTAAAAATGATGTGTGATGATTTACACACATAATAACCTATAAACATTTATACTGATCCATCTCTATACTATACCTCAGACTGTATGTGCTATATTCTTCCGAAGATATGTAGACAAAATATCTTCGTTTTTCTACGTGCATACGGCATATTATATATAAGCAAGTGTTATGTGCTGCAGCCTATATATAAACTCCTTCTTTTGCGACTATTCAACAACGTTATTCATAATGAAGAGTTGTTCATCCCTTCTTCTCAGACATTATAATTTATGATGATTTAATGAAATTGCCTTAATCCATGTACTATCCAATAATATTTACTTGGTCGATCAGATCTTCGTGTAATCTCCTCACCATCCCAACAACATATCTCGCTGATATTTTACGCATACACAACTCGCTTTTTTATTTCAAACTACTCTTTTGTTTGGGGGACGCGAGTCCTTCATAATATTATAAATGTATAATTCATTGGTCCTTGAAATAATTGTTTTCATCATTTCGTTCGTGTTTTTGTGTATGTTTTTTTTTTTTTTTAAGATCGTTTTTCCTGTGTATCTGTATACTATGATCTAATATGTGATTGTATTTATTGTTTCGGTCATGCAATCCGTTTTATCAAAAAACAAAATGAATAAGCACAAATATTTATACGGGAAATATAATATTATATATTGACAAAATATAAATAGTAATGCACAACAGTAAAATATACTGTAGTCCGTCAAACGTCCATATTTATAKAAACAACAAGAGAAACTTAGTAGGTAGGTAGGAAATATTAGGTACTGTTGAATTATATAGAACATAATATAAAAACTATAATAATAATAATAATAATAATAATAATGTATGAAACTAAAAACTTAAGTTTAAGACCTTATAATAATTATAGGTATTATATATTATAATATGATTATTATAGTTAATGCGTTTGTGTCATAAATAGGACAAAAATAAATAAATAAATAAATGTTTCCGTTTAAGTATTGTAATTAACTATTATCGTCTTCATCGGTGGTGGGCCACATGTGGTGGGTGATGATTCACTATCGGACGAGGGCGGTATGCGCAGTATACCTGTGTGTGGATAATACGTAGTGCAGTGTAAATCTGGTTCAGTGGGTCTCTGTGGTGCGGTGGTGGTCACGTGAACGCGGTCAGTGGTAAGCCGGGTACGCGTGGTACGGCGTTGGCGCGTACGCTTTGACGGCCGGATAGATTGGCGCATAGGCGTTGACGGCTGCCGGGTAGACGGCTGGCGCGGGCGCGTACGACTTGACCGGGTAAGCGGCGCGGGCGGGTGCGGCCCCGTAGCCTTTGGCCAACGGTTCCTTGGTGACGACCGCGTTGAATCCGTTGTGCGGGTCCGCGGTGTAGTCGACCGTCCGCCTGGTGCCATCCGGGTCCACCAAGCTGTACGACCCGTGCACCACGTCACCGTTCCTGGTCTCGTGCTGGCTCTTCGAGTCGCCCGTCAGCTGATCGTGCACGTCGTAAGCGTATGAATACGACGGGTTCGGGTCGTAGTCCGCATCGTACGACTTGGTCGCCGCCGCTGCATAGTACGGAACCGGCGCGTATAGGGCGGGCGAGTACGGGGCGGCTTCGTAGGGGTAGGCCGCGTAGGGTGCAGCCGTGTACACGGGGGAACCGTGCGTCACCGCTGCCAGGACCGACGTAAATACTGCGAACTGAACAAAATTTAATGATTATAATAATATATTAACGTCGTATAATCGTAGCGAGACTAATACATGATTGTACCCTAATATTAAACCATTATTGTGGTTAACCCGAAGCTTATATCATTTTTGAAATATTKTCACTTATAGATACCTATACGTAGACCAGTAGTGTTCCCATATTACATACTTGCCGTATACTTTTAAGATTTTCCTAAAATATCATGGTTATAGGAACTATACGTCTACACTCTCAAACAAACCATAAAAAAAGAATTGATACATAATTTTTTTTTTTAATCTTAGTTTATTTTTGACTATATATATTCTGARTTTAAAAAGTTTCTATATTAAATACTATTTAATATTAACTAAGGTTAATCGTAAGGCATAAATAAAAGTATAATAGGCTTTTACTAAACCGTCGCGCATCGACCAATAACAAGTCGCGGGTATACCTAATAATAATAATTTAATATATTGACCAGTACTTAAACAGTTACATTACCGAAATTTAACAGAAATATAAAAATAATAAATCTTACCGAAAAATGATTATCGCAACAATTGTTGTCAGTGATATTTCCCGTATTCATCACCATCATAGTGTTTTATTCTACTACATTATGTGTAGGTACAATTTATTTTAATAATTCATTCTTATAATTTTGTTTTGGTATATTATTATAAATGTATTAATATTTTTTTTTGGTTGTAAATTAAACCACGCTACAATACTTTTATCGTAAAAAAAAAATTAAACACCTATATTTTGGCGTTTTTTAGTGTAGTATACTCTCATAAAAAATGATGGAAACATCACTGACATAGACTCGTTATTTTTTCTCACTCGGTTATAATTCATTTTTATAGTTATTTTTTTTAATAATTATTTTATAAGATGTTTTAACTTTTAAGTTAAATTGACTGTTTTTGATCTAAAAAAATTACATGGTATATTTAAATCGATATTTTTTTTTTATATTCAGTTATTAGCTCTTATGTCATATATTAATATCTTATGAGTTTAAATTATTTGTTAGAAAAATCTTATAAGAATTAATTAGTATATGATTTTAGAATTAACTTTTCCCTTAACTTCTATTAACCCGTATAATAATCACCCTAATGTCCATTTAAATTGTTTTTGTTTTGCTCTTGTTCACCTGTATTGACCTGTGACTTACCCACTAAAAACGCAAAGTGCTGGGTTTAATATTATTTTGGTAAAAAAAATACTAGATATAGGATTATTGCATGTTTTAAAACCAAGTAAGATTAGTCAGTTTGTGGTTATATCACGTCTTATTATATCAATACATAATATAGTGTCTCAGTACTTCAATATTATTTCTTATTATTAATTTCTTATTATTAGATATCTAAACCGATCATTTATAACCTTTTAAAATTTTATATAGTACTGTCAGTATTTATCATGACTTAAAACTTTCGAGAAAAAAAATGTCGTATATATTATCATAAGTAGCATGTTACTAGATATTTTTGATCTGTAAGGTAAATTTAGAAATAATAGATTAAATTATGATTTCAGGTATAGTGCAGTGGAAAAATTCTCATATACATTTTTTAGTTACATTCATGTCTATCTTGAATTATAATATATGAATTTATCATTAAAATTAGTATACAATTTTATAACAATAATTTTGTCTCAGATTTGATGAAAGAGATATAGTTTTTCTATATAATATTAATATAATATCATTTGTTTTTAATCTTTTTGGAATGTCTAAAACATATAAAGTGTGAGCTCGGTGACCCGCATGATAGCGCCGTATCGCGTGAATAGTCCGCTTCAAATGATGTAAAAATAAAAAACGAATATTCCACAATTCAAGTCGTAAATCGCTTTGATAGTAATTTCATCATATAAATCTATCGGTTATCATGTATGCAATTTATTAGATGAGTAGTTTCGATACAACTTAAACAAATTCACGGATCTATCCTAATTCTTATGTACGAACAGCTGCGCATTAGAGTCGGTGCGGCTTCAGACTCGGGAAAGAGTATATAAGTTTAGTCAGACTGATAAATATATCAATATAGTCAAAAGTGCGATCGTGTGACTGCGCCTGAACCTATTTACATAATGTATATATTATATCACTAGGTACGAGTATATGTGTACTTACCCTGAACGCCATAATAATCGTTGAGTGTGGTGGTTTGCGATTAGGAATTAAAATATATACGAACAACGTGTTTCTTGCGGTGATGGCTCTGGAGTCTGGACGGGTGTGATGCTGAATCCGTGGATGAGTGGTCTTTTTATACATGCTGAAATCGTCGGGAACCTTCCGAGACCACTCCCTGACGTTATCGCTCACGCGCGCCTATGGGGGGAAAATTATAGCAGGCCCCCTGGGGGCTTACGACGACGACGATGCCTCCGTATCATTATATTAGTAATAATAATAATAATAATAATAACAAAAATATTATTATGTATATTATATGACGGAAAACGGGCGGCGGTCCTTATAATATGTATTATTGCATTATTTCACGACCTTTCACACCAAGGCGGTGCGCAGACGACCGTGGCCTCCTCTCTATAGGCCCGATGACGGCGTACAGGAGATATATTTTATTTAGTTCTATTCAGAGCCGGCCGCGCGCACTCATCCCCCCAAATTGGTTTTGTCTCCTATTTTAGGTTTTCTTGTTATGTATTGTTGTTGTTCTATTATGGATTTTTCCGACGCGCGCCTTCGGAAATAATTATAGTAATAATATCATATATACTATATTATTATTTGCATTGTATATTGTAGTGATATGATATCGTCCAGAGGACGTCCTGACCGTTGGAAAAGCGACGACGTTTTCCGACAAGTCTTTTTATGTCACGCGCCTATAGTCTAACCCAATAGTCTAGATGGATAATTAATGATATAATACATAATATGTATATACTCGTATACGTAAACAAAGCATCATAAAAATACGAGCGTAATTGTACCAACGTCATCATCATAGGTAAATACGTCTCATGTGGATTGCGCCATGTATATGAATTTTGGCGCTGCTTCATCCTGTTATATGTTTAAATCTAACCTACGATTGAGATGGGATTGCGCGACATGTTTGGTGAAAAAACACTCATGGTCGGTCAAATTGAAATTCCTCAGACTGTTAGTTTGTTCCAAACATATTTTTTCATCGGAACTATGACATATTTCTCCTCAAAGATCTTGCAATAATCGCCTATAAATACTATTCAGGGATATTTCTTCGTAAACGTATCACGGAAATCTCAGTAAAACAACAATATTACTAAGGCGACAAAATTGGTCTATGTGCCAAACAAGGTGCTCGCTCCAACTACACGAATCATACATATTTTAACAAGTTAAATTAATATTTATCTTAATTTATTATATCTACTTATAAGTATACGTTTCTGGTAAAACTTGTTCCTTTGTATGTTCCAAAGTTTTATCGTTTAACAAAAAATGTGCCTCAGCTCCCTGTGGATCCGTATACTCCGAATAACTAATAATAACGAGATAATATTATGATATTAATGATGATCATAGTTGTACGCAATTCCGTGTGTAACCAGGTATCTTAAAGAATTAAATAAAAACCCAATAATTAATTATTATAACTTTTTACAATATCATTGAAGTCTACATTTATGTTTGGTTAATTTTTATAATTTTTTTTATATTTATTTATTTATTTATTTAGACATTTCTTTGCTTAGCCCTTGAGGGGTTATATTTTAGTATTCTTATATCTTTTTATTTATATTATTATAAAATTACTCGTATTTTTTTTTTTTTAATGTATTACTTTATTACACAAACTTTTTTTAAGCTTACAATACAAGTGTAAGTGTGAAGTTCGATGAATATAGACATGATTGGTGGTGACTTGTTGAAGAGTCCCTCGTCGGTGGAACTTCAGGCTAGTTATTAAATAGTTTATTGTATTTCAGAACATATTATTAGGCTAGTTTCTGATGTATTATATTTCATTATAATTTTAATGTTTGAACTCGCAGTATTTTCGTTTTTCRAGCAACTTGCGTGCGTAAACACTTGAGAATTATAATATTATACCAATATAATAATAATAAATAAATYACCCATTGTGGTTCTAGGTCCGTTTATTGTTGTTAAATTTGTTTACGGAAACGGTATGTTTATTGTAAGTTTCCTATCTACTTCTTTGAATAACTCGTCAAGTTTATTCATAATTTTATTATTCTTGTAAATATTATCTAACCCGACTTCCAGATTCCTTCGTAAATAGTAGATTCATACTATTTGCAGTCACTATTTTGATCCATGAAAAATAAACTGATTCTCGAACTCAGTTTAATAATTTTTCCTTTCATAAATTCAAGATTTTGACAAATGGTTTATTTTAAATATTGTATAACATATGTTATTTTTATACACCAGTGCGTTAAAGTCTCTTATATCCACTCTTCGTTTACCACAATTTATTAAGCACGAAAAGTTTATTATWCTTCGTCTTGGGTTTTATTTAATAAAAAAATACTAAGAATAGGTACCTATCTAAATATTTTTATTGGAAATCTGTGTTTACTCACGCGAATGTACAACGAATGCTATTTACATATTGTTTATTTTGGATGAAATAGTATAGTAATGTAAATGTACCTACATACATAATTATACATTTTACCACACCATTGTTTTAATTAACCTACATGTATATATTTTTTTATTTCACTTCAGTTATTTACATCTACTTGAGGTCAKCTGAATCATTATTATGTATATTTATCAATTAATTACACTCAAAATGCAAAATATAAACAACATTGAATAAACAGAACGTTTCTCTACTTATTTATATAATATATTAATTTTATATGATGTATACATAAATACAATAATTTCCTGTAAAAAATCGAATTTGCATGTCTCGTTAATCTCTCRTCAAACCTTACGATGAAAATTTAGAACCATGTTGTAAACGTTTTTCTTAGGGTTAAAGTTAAATACTCCGATATTATTTTACGTTTGGGGTGACTTTATAATCAGTCTGTAGATACCATTTAAGATTTAGTCCACAAGTTTCGGTTGAATCGATAGTAATTGCAGTAGGTGCTGTATATTATTCTACATGGACGTTTATAATATTTTGAAATCATATAACTTGTATATTTGGTATATATCACGTAGGATTATTTTCCAACAAGAAACTAAATTAACGTTGACGTACCTATACGTATAACAACAATGCCGTCGTAGTACAATAGTCGTCTACTCTTATAACGTCGAGGACATGATAATATATCGTATAATATGTGTACCGTTGTTATTCTTGGACAGAGCAAAAAATACATGAAAAATCTCAAACGACGTTTCTCGATAAGCATTGTAKTTTACTAGATGAGACATTAAGAAAATACGCGTCATCAACAATTATTATTATTATTTTATGTCGAGTATCTATCTATATACGATGTGAAGGAATTAATATCGTGATTATATTACGACACGCGTACGTTTAAATCCATAATATGGCATAATCCATGTATATATATATATAATAATAATATGTGGTGACCTTTTGCGTTGTCCGAATTGTATATATAATATAATAATATTATATACATATATGTGTACGTATACAATATAACAAAATTAATAACAATAATAATAATAAATAATAATTATAGACATTTTCGATTCCTGCGAACAATATGGGATATAATAACAATTATTATTATTATTATGTTCTTATATACAACTCGGGGACGAGTTACACTATACATTGTTGATCGTGGAGCGTAATCGCTGCCGTGGTTCCAGTCGCGATGTTTCACGTATAGACCATATTATCATAATATATAGTATATACCTATCAATTTTATAATGTGTATTAATATATATATATATACATCGATGTCGACGTTATACGCGGGTGGTTCGTTAAACGCGTCGGCGTTCACGGTTGGCCCTGAACCGGACACAAACGCATCGGTGCAGTTGTGTAATACGATGATCTGCGGCTGCACGCGTTTCCGTGCAGACAGTCGACCAGCAGACTCGCACACCGATCGGCGTAAGAATAATTATAGTTTGTTACTTCTGCTACTGCTGCAAAACCTATTCCTCTCAACGACCGCAACGACGTACGATTTTTATACTTCTTACACCGTTATATTTTTGTGTTTAGACGAAATTCGCAAACATGACTAATGGCTATATTATATTGTATTATAGGTGATCTRAGAAGAAATGCATAGTTACTACTTACTATATGCATACAGGGTGATTCTTTTATCAAACAACACTTATATGGTGTTTGTGTGTAAATACCACCTAACATACACCTATAACACACAAACACCACCCAAAACCACCCAACTTTGGGAGGCTWTATCTTGTAAACGGATTAATGAAAAATGAAAATTTAAACGTGAAAATTCATTGAAAAAATAGCCTTTTTAGTTTATGAAATTTTAAGTATAGGTTGTCATTTGAAAATCAAAAGTTGATAATGGTTAACCTGATAAATATAAGGGTGAATATATTTAAAAAAATATATAGTTCTAGAACAAGATGGTTCTAAAATTTTGAAAAAAAAAAATTTGAAAAAAGTCAATAGTTTTTGAAATAATGAGTGTTGTTTGAAAAAAAAATCACCCTGTATACATAAATTAACGACTAGTATAATAGTTGTATGTATTATGTATATCATACATTTGCAAGCAGTATTTTGGTTTTAAAATAAATAAATACGATTTAATGGTTTGGTTCTAATTCCCCCTCCCCCCCCCTTTTTGCATTTTTACTATATGTATAAAGACATGAAAATTGATATTAATTCTTTACCTAGGTATTGCTTTAATAAAATTTGTTTGATTACAGTTTTGTTAAGCGTTTATAATTTTTAGATATGTAAAACCTTTAACAGATACGTTTGAAGACATTCACGGATAACATTTTGGGGGAACACTGGAGAATGAACTCACGAGAAATGTGAATTTGAATAATTGTTTGGCTGTGAACGGGGAAATATTTAAATCTGCAGTACACAACCAGCGGTGGTTATAAAATGTAAAATAGTGTAGCGACTGATGGAAAACATACGCATTATCATATTATATAGTCTTGGTATAAATTCAGTTTAGTAAACGACCCCGAAATATATGCTGCAGAATGCAGATGTCAGTGACGCTAATTTCGCAGAACCACAGCGCGGCCTTCCAATTTATAGTTTGCGAATATTCATCGACAAAATTGTGTGCACCTTTTGCACCTTATTAT